AAAAAAAAAAAAAAAAAAAAAAAAATCATAAATTCGCTATCAAAAATTCACTTAAGACATGATAGAACTATATAGAGCTATGAGTAATATAGAACGAACTTATTTCATATCGAAGGCATTGCAGTCCCCAGTCCCTTGTGGCTACATTGATAGACTCCTACAGAAATGACCAGTTAAAAGATTACTAATCAGTTAAATCGTTCATTTATTTTCGTTCAAGCAATCAGGGTAAAAATGCAGTACAAAACACTACGAAGAAGAAGAAGAACAAGAACAAGAGAAAAAAAAATGTTTTCCCAAATGCAAATTTTGCTCCACAGCAAGCAAACACAACCAGAATTCTCAAAATCGAAAGACATGATGAAAAGGATGTAATAAAATAAATAAATAAAATAAAAAAAGTACCACTATCTTCTCATTCAGCGTGTCTCTTTCCTCAAATGTTTTGTCAAGAGTAATCTTCCCAAGCTCGCTTCGCATTGTAGTCTGAGCGAGCTGAATAACGGCATATATGGGATGCTCAACACCATAAGATGCCAGCTTGGGGTCCACTATCTGCACAGAAACGGAGACTTTGTCGTTTCATTCGTAAATTGTAGCAGAAAGAAAAGTAGAGCGACTTTTAAGAGTAAGAAACCAGAAAACGCAAGTCCGCGAACAGCTTCGCCTCATACCTTAACATAAAGAACCCCATCTATCAAAATGCTGACATTGTCCTTTGTGATAGCAGACTGGTCCGGAATAGGAATAGCTTCCTCCTTCAAGGAATGCACATAAGCTATCCGATCGACAAATGGAATCAAAAAATGGATTCCGGAGGGAAGTGTCTTCACATACTTTCCAAATCGTTCGATCACGTAAGCTTTCTTCTCCGGGACAATTCGAATACCCCAATTTAAAGGAGGAGTAATCTCGTAGCTAATAGAAGGGGGGTTAGAAAATAATTGCACATGAGTAGACAACAAAATTAGTTGTGAAAAGAAGGAATTGGAAGGAATAGAAGGTATGTAGGGAGGGGAGGTCACCTGATGTTGGGATCTCGAGCAGTACGAAGATAGCGGATGGTGGCGGGAGAGAAGAGGGAGGAAGGTTGAGGAGAAAGAAGGTTACTGTAGAAGGGAAAGGAAGAGCGGGTTGTGGAGAGACGTCTGGAATGTGCAGTGAAATGGAGAAATGTAAGGGAGGAAGAAGGGTTGGACTTGAAAATGTTCATCATTTCCGGAGCGACCTCAGGTGGACGTAGAATGAGGTCTTAGAAGAAGTCCCACCCAGTTTCACTTTTTCTTTCTTGCAGACGGAGGCATCCGCTTTTAATTTTACACCAAAAAAAAAAAAAAAAAAAAAAAAAAAAAAAAAAAAAAAAAAAAAAAAACNTACATACATACATACATACATTTTCATCAACTCCACCGTTCTACGGTAAGTTATGTTCTTAAATTTGCAAACCTTTCAATTTCTTCTCTTTTTTTTTTTTTCTTTTATTTAATCTCGACCTAGCCTGAACTAAACCTTCCACGAAACATAATATTTACCCATTCACTCTCTCTCTCTTTTGACTGATTACTTTTTCCTCAACAATTTAAATGCTTACTCGATAAAATGCATGTTACCTTCATTTTAGGAAGTCCAAAATTCAGGAACGTTTTGAATAATAGTGTAAATAGGAAGTGACAATATGTTGCATTTCCCTCGCTCAGAGGGAGCAAAAAGACCCATTAGGCTCTTCATGTATGCCCTGCCCTACATAAATAAAAATACAGTTGGCCTCTGCCCTTGTTCTCTTAGACACAGGTTTTTTTTTTTTTTTTTTTTTTGTTTTTACATCAATCAAGCCTATCATAATGTAATGCGTTGAAATTGTTCTTAAATTGTGTGAGAATTCATGATTAAGAGAATGTGAATGCCTAATGCAAGAAATCCAAGGGTTCTCCTAAAAGGTACATAGAAATCAAGTAACATAGACATCTGTAGAAGAAGGGTTACTTACTGACTGCCATTTTCGTGCCTCGAATAGAAAATATCCATAAAACAAAACTGTAATAAAGTTTAAAAGGTTTGCCACGAAACATCACAAAATTACGCAATTAGGTGCGAAAAAACAATTCCAAAAAGAGAATAAACTACTCTTGAAACTAAGAGCAGATATAACCTACAATTCTATTCATCCCTCTTCTTCTCCAACAATGGTACCCTTCTCGCTGACATAGATACCATCAAGGAACTTCCGTATATCCTTGTTCTTCACATGACATTTCTGCAAAAGAAGCCAAGAAAGAGTAAGCCACAGAATGATTTAAGACCAAGAAATGCACCATTTAACTCTTTTCTTTTATGTGCAGCAATGCCTGCATCATGTGAGTCTGATCAATACAAACCTGGTTTATAAGGGCACAAGACCGTGAAACCAGTTCAATATCATTTCCATCCAAGACCAACTCATCTTTCACTTTCTCAGATCGGGTAATTGAAACTCCATCAAGCATATCCACCTTCCTCACCTGATTCAACAATTACCCGCATTAAAGTTTAGCCGATAATGACATCTAACAAATCCATGCTACAAAAGTATTTACAATTACAATTCCAATTCCAAATGTTTCTCTTTTCTTTGTAAGAAACATGCTTGTCAATAATATTTTGAGAGTGAGTGAGGATAAGAGATTAGAAGCAAACCATCCTATCTATCTTAAACATGCAAAACTCTGACACGAAGCGCAGAATGTGAATGACTTGTGCCTTTATTCATTTACGAGTATCAGGGCCAAGTTATACACCTTAGAAAGATGGCACCAAATAAGATATTAAGTTCAAATCAATTTCCAATCAGGACGAATATTTCATATTCTGAAATTTTAGATTTGGCACTGGCCTAGGCTTCTTTATATGTTGGTTTTGGTACTAAACTGAAATATGAATTACTAAAAGAACTGGAAATGAGGTTCGAATAGCCATTGCACAAAACAGACTTGTAGCTTCGAAGACCCGTTTAAATATCATTTGGCTTTCAAAAACTAATGATTTTATTTTCAAAATCTTGGCATGGTTTTATGAAAACATAGGTAAAGAAGTAGATGACAAAAAGACTAACCATGGTTATCAATAGGTCCCAACCCATATGTACATGAAGAAGAAATAATGTAATGATGGAGAACCCATTCGTAAAAATGGTAATTCAAATGTCGAACACGCATGGAAAACAATATAAATAATGCAACAGCAAAAATTGATATAGACAGAATTCCACAAACCTCACAGAAACTGGTTAGAGCTAAGTAATATTAGAAGGTTTATTTTTCATGTAAAATCACCACCAAGCAGATTCCTATGAATAAAATTTATAGCATAAAAATCAAAGCGCGAGGTTGTAAACAAGTAACAGCACAGGTCCATACGAGTGTACAAACATCAATGTAAACAGTAGATATCAAAGAATGGAATATGGCACAAAATTGAAAAAACCAGCATAACTAATGGAAGGCTCATTACTAATGAACAGAAGTTACTTGAAATATATATTTCCAAGAAGAACACTAACTAAATAATAAGATCAAAACCTAACACAAGTGATGGTCAAATCAAACACACGGCGATTAATAATGAATGAAAAACATGAGAAGCATAGAGAAAACAATACCTTCTTTTCTCCAAGAAAATTACGAATCTCAATAGACTTGCTGCCGTTTGTGATGCTAGCATTGATGGGAAAGTGAGCGTAGACGAAGCGCATCTTGTAACGATAGCCCTTAGTGACGCCGGTAATGAGGTTCTCAACATGGCTGAGAGCAGTACGAATAGCGGCGGATGTCTTCCTAGACCCAAACCATGCTTCAATCCGGAGCTTCTTCTTGCCAGTGGCCTCGTCAGTAATGAGTTGAAAGTCGAGATTGAGATGCTTAAAGTTACGAACAAGCTTACCACGAGGACCTTCAACCTCGATGATCTTGGCATGGACCTTGATCTTAACCCCATCTGGGATATCCATAGACTCGGATGAAAGAATGGTCTTCATTTTTCTGTGGAAAGAGACTCAAGGAAGCGCCGGCAAGAAACCACGGAGGCTGCGGCAGAAGGCGGAAAAGCTCTGTGAGAAGATTTATATACAGAAAACCGACTACGATGCAGCTGCCGAAGAAAAGTAATAAACTTACGGAAGAAGAAAAACCCTAAGGCTAAAGGGGAAGGAGCGATGGGCTTGGGCCGATATATAGAGTTTAATTTTAATTACAGAACTGCCAATGAAAACTAAAGGGCATCGGTTCGGTTTTCTCGACTTTTATCTAAACCGGAACCGAACAAACCGATCCGATTGGGTTTTGTGGTTTCGATTCCAGACCGTATAAATTTTATAGAACAACGACCTGAAAGTGCTTTAAAGAGAGGGAGGGTGGCGGCTAGGGCAAAGCCTTTCTGTTGTATTTTCCCCCCATAACCCGGTTTCAGCGACTGTCTGTGGGCTGGTTAAGGTGCGTTATATTGGACTGCTGGAAGCTAAATTAGGAACCGGGACTGGGCCTATTTATTATTTCATTCAGAAATAATTATATTTTTTTTTTTTTAGAACCTCATCAAATTCGAATGCTAACCTTTAATTTTTTAATTAACATAAACGAAAATATTGTTACATGAAACTTTAGAGCATATATCCTAATAGTAACAAATATGAGTTTAAAACTTATCGATCACGTGTTATTCTAAATTATATTCTAACTTATTTTTCACCAAAATCTCCCTAACTTTTATTGAAGAAAGAACCTAATCCAATTTAACTATTAATTTTTTTTAATTGAGTTTTTATTTATTTATTTTCAAAAACTTAAATGAGATTTATAACACAGTTGAATAATATTTTATAAAATTACCTTTAAATAAGGAAAATAAATATTTATCAATCGTATATGTATAAAACAAAAATATATATTTGAGAGTTATAAATAAATTTGAGTTGATTAAATCAACCCGATTTAATTTTAGGAAACTCGTGAATTAAAGTAATCTATAAAAATTTTCATTTATTTGAGTCCAACTTAACTTAAATAAGTTTATAACACAACTCCTAATTGACAACTTTAATAAATTCATCCGGTTAAACATTAAAAAATATATTATTTGTAAATAACAAAACTAATATTGAAATTATATTTTCAATGGCAAAATTGAATCATCGTCTTTGGACTCCCACAAACTTGACTATGTTGAAGAAGAATAAAAGTGTTGTACCCTAATGTCACAATCAAAAAAGTTATGATTCGTAATTGTTGTAGCTAAAGCGGGAGCAATATCAATCGCACTCACCTATCTTTAATCATAAATTATATAAAAATACACAGATTTACGTGGTTTAAAAATAAAAATAACTAAAGTTCCTTCTAATTGATTCTAGACAAATATAAAATGACCATGATTTCACACCACGCTGGACAAACTTTTATACCAGTCTAACCATATTAATTCTTTTACATATACCAAATCAATAAGAATATGAACCTTGGTCAAAGATAAATAAGAATATAAGGTTATAAACTAAATGGGAGTTAGTTACGAGAGCATATTACAACTTCCGACAAAATGTTTTTTGGTAGTCAAATGTGGGTCAAAAGTGGAGAGACTTAGTTAAGATCCTATGGGTGAAAGAGAGAGCGTAGGCGGCATGTCATTAAGTCACATAGAACAAGAGGAGAACAAATTTCCTTTTTCTTTTTTGTTTGTTTGTTCCTGTGTTGGGTATAAACTCTCTCGCTTTCTCTCTCTGTCTCTGAAGAACATGCATGCAGGTAGCAGGTAGCAGGTAGCAGGTAGGTAAGAAAAACAAACACATGGGTGTTCACAAATTGTTGAACGCATCTCGCCCCGTTCTCGCAATGTTGGCTGTCCAAGTTATTGCCGCCGGATTGCAAATTCTCAGCAAAGTTATTATCGATCAAGGCACCTTCATTTTTGCACTCATGACCTACCGCCATCTCGTTGCCGCTCTCTGCGTTGCACCCTTTGCTTTCTTCTTCGAAAGGTGTCTTAGCTTTCCCTCTTACTTTCATATTAACTCAAACTCCTCACTACATCACTCCATTCCCCTGCTTTGCTTGCAGAAGTAACGCATACAAGTTGTTGAGCCCCAAGGTTCTGTTTTGGCTCTTTCTCAGTGCCTTCACCGGGTACGCCTCTTCTCTCTCTCTTGCTTTTCTCAATCCAATGCATTATCCCTCAAAACTATCCATATCATTACTCCAACAACCCAATTAATATGCAGGATAACAGCGGCTATGGGACTCTACTACTATGGTCTACGAGACACCACAGCTACTTATG